GGTATAGTGAAGCATAGGGATCTGTTTTCTTGGTTTTTTGCGGAACTTGGGGTAAAACTCGTCAGCTCAGGGTTGACATGCAACCTCTGCTGGGTGCATCTCAAAAACGTGCGCGTTTGTGTTCCCTGTGCGACAGCACTAATCAACGACAGCAGGCCAGGCGTGCCTTCATCTGTGGCATATGGGAATTCAGAAATATGGACTCTAACAACATTCTCCCCTGTTCAAGGACCCCTACAAAGGGTACGCTTAATGTTGAGAAACCCCTTAGAAGCAGCATGACCGCAGCTCTTGGACCAGACTTGCGTAAACATGACATACTCGAGCTCATCTTCGTGTGAAAGCCGGACTGCGGCATAATAGCATCTTGGAATACTACTCTGAACGGTGGAGATTGAATTGAGCACTGTCGGTCTGATACGATTGCAGAAGGCTCGATAGCCAGGTTAGCAATCATCCACATTAGCGGTTATGCTTCAGCTCCTCCGTCCTTGTTGCTTTCACCTTTTCAAGAAATGAACAATTAGTTATATATATATATGCATATACTTACATATGTATGTATGTATGTATGTATGTATGTATGTATGTATGTATGTATGTGTGTATGTATGTATGTATGTATGTATGTATGTATGCTTTCTTATATATTATGTTAACTCCATTCAGACAAGCTTTCTGTTGGCCGAGGCCAAAAGCAACGAGCTTGGGACCGCCACTTTTCCCTGGAAGTGGAGGGTTCCCTGAATCGAAACCGGATGTTGGGTATGAGTTTAAGATCCCTTCTGCATTGCAGAGCATTCAACCGAAATCGGAGCCCTTCTTAGCATCGTTAAATTTTCCTGATGTTCAGGTGTGTGAGAGAGAGAGAGAGAGAGACAGAGAGTTTTGCGTATGTAGTGAGTTCCTTTTTCAGGCCCGAAGTGTCCTGGCCTTTTAAATGGTAATCTGGCCCAGCTTGCATTGATAGCCTTTTGTTTTCGGGAGTCTGCGTGTTGACGGCTACCTGCGGCACTTGCGTGGGTGTCAAGGTTACACTTTTTTTTTGGGCGGGGGAGGCTCAAACAAGGTTACTAGGACACCTTGCTGGGTGTCAGGGTGACACTGGGGGCATGTGTACATTCATTCATTCATTCATTTATTCACACTCACTCATTCAGACATACAAACTTAGACATACACGCAGAAAGTACGCACATACATAAATACAAATATAAATAATTACATAAATAAGTAAATAAATAAATATATATATATATAATATACATACATACACATACATACATGCATGCATGCATGCACACACACACATATATATATAACATACACACAAACATATATATATATATACACACACATATATATATATATGTGTGTGTGTGTGTTTGTGTGCGGTGTGCTCGCTAATTTGTTGACCGAAGCAGGACCGGAGTTCTGTGTGACGGCATCACCGCATGGAGCTTATCAGACGACAGTTGGAGATTAGTTCTGCTGAGGGCTGGGTCGTGCAGGCTGTGAGCACATTGTCAGGGCCGGAATCTGTTTTTGCGCACCGTAAACCCTGAACCCTAAACCCGCACGTCTGTTGGCTCTCGGATGCTGTATTTTGGCAGAGTCTCTGGGACCTCGTGCTGAAGACCCTCTTTTTTTCTGCAGTACCGTACATGAGGGCTTACAATCCAGACGATCGCCATGTGTGTAAATCGCATGTTCTATGACAGCTACATTCCGCTGTGTATGTTAAATCCACTCGTTTGCCGACCCCCCTGTTCACGATTGAGCATTGAGCACACTCAGGACGCCCGGAGCTCTCTCAGCAGCGTGCAAGGAGCTGCACACCTGCACCCTGAATGCAGCGAAGGCTACATGCTTTTTGTAGCACAAATTGAGGTTGGCCGGGCTTCCCCAGTAGTCGTGGGTGTTGTCGTTGTCGCTACAACTTGGGAAAGCGTTGATTTCAAGCAGGCACTATTGGGGCCTAAATAAATTACCAATACTATGTTGGGGGGGGGGGTCCCTTGAACATAATTATAGTAAAATATACCCCAAAACCCTCTTCTACTAATTAAGGCCCTCGGAGACAGTGCGGACAGCCGGAGGTCCTGGCTTGGAATTGGGTTCCCAAGTTTTCGATCTCTACACAGTGAAATCCTAAGCCCCAGGCCCTCAGGGGCCATGGGGTGTCCATGGGTGGGAATTGGATTAGTGTGTCTCATGACACACAAGCGAAGGTGATTGGATCGTCATTTTCGGGCGAGTGCTTCCTACTTCTTGACACGTGCTCAGTGTTGTTGCCATGCCGGTTTTCAGTGGCTCTCTCCACTGCAGGCTTATTCGGTTCAGGAATTTGTTCTGTGGCTATTCCGTTTGGTGTGTGTGTGTGTGTATTTGTGTCATTTGTCATGTTCCCACGCAAAAGTAGATTATCCCATATGCTCGCGTGAGATCCGGTGATGGAGAGCCTTTGAAAGCCTGCCAAACCTCCTAAGTCTCCTACGGCTGAAACCGTAAAATCTAAAAACCCCTGAGCCACTGCTAGAGGGCTTGAAATTAGTCGCAGGCCAGCCGATCTGAAACCTATATACAAGGCTTCCACTCCTGCGCCCCTAGCAAAGAATAGGGCTCACGAGAACCAAGGTCCCTTCTGTGGCCACGATGTCGATCCGGGCGCCAACTTTTGCTCGAATTGTGGTGCTTCGCTGGCACCCGCTTCCAGCAGAGGCGCCGCAGCCGAAGGTTGTCCTGAATTTTGGGAGGATGGCAGCGAGGGTTCAGGGCTGTGGAGTTTCAGGTTGTCGGGTCTTGGGGCGAGATTTGGGTCCCGAGGCTGTCTTGGCGTATCGCATGTCGTATTGCAAAATCCGATTTGTGTTCGCAGGGCTCCGCCTCGATACATGAAATAGAGAGAGAACTGATAGGCACATAGACATACACGACAACCTGCCTACCTGCTTACCTGGCTAGCTGGCTGGATAGCTAGGTAGCTACCTACCGACAAACATTCATAATCATACATCCATGCATAGTCACACGCAACCCTACACAACATACATAAGATGCGTGCATGTGTACATACATCTGTACGTACGTACCGCATAGGTATGCTCTTATCTACGTGCATACATGCATTCATGCATACATGCATACACACGCAGTATTCGCATGCATACATACGTACAGACAGCTTCGATCACACAGATGTATGATGCGCATGAGCATGCGCTAGAACTGACAATCATACCGACAGACCAGAAATACTTTACATTACAACAACCACAACAATGCATTATGCAGTGCACGGACCACACACACGCGCACACACACACACACACCCGCGCGCACGCACCCACTCACCCACCCACCCACCCACCCACCCACCCACCCACCCACTCACCCACGCACGAACACACGCACGCACGCACACACGCATGCCGAGTACTCGGCTAATACACTCGAGTACGCTCGAATTGCTCGAGTACGCTCGAGTATCCTCGAGTATATGCTTCAGTACACTCAAGCGCATACTCACGCACACTCGGGTGTACCCGCACATACTCGCGCATACCTGAGCATACTCATGTCCGCGAGTACCCGCGCATATCCGCGCATATATATATATACTCGCACATATACCCGCCGCGCACACGCACCAATACTTGACGCATACCCGGCGCTATCCGGGCGCATACCCGGCGCTATCCGGGACTACAATCTGCAGTCGTGCTTTCCCGCCACAGTGCATGCATGCATGCATACATACTGTACATACCTGCATACACATGCATGCATACAATAAGTAGTTGTACAGTTACATACACACAGAACACCCATTCGTAAAATGGAGCGTCATGGCGGCGTACATCTGTTTTATTGCACTTGCAATGCTATGGATGCAATCGTACATAGCGGTGGATAGGCCGTCATAGATTGTATTGGCTACCGCTTCGAAGGTTTACGCGTGATAGAAGCCTGTGAAACAGGCAGGCTTTTCTGGATGCCTGCAGCCACGATCGATGAGGTTTGCTCCCTGAGTCTGAACAACGCAGCGGCTAACCCCGAATCCATTTTGCTCACCGAAGCACTGAAGCTTCAGTGATAAAATGTCGGCCCTCCAGCTGCAGCCATATCCCCAGGCAAGTTTCTCTCGGCCTCCCTGCCCGCCACACCTTTGCCGCAAAGCTCGGCCGCTTGGTCCAGACATGCTGTATATAAGAGGTTTGGATTTTTTCATGTGGTCAGTCTTCCTGATGGACAGGTATTTTGCGTTTGGTGGGCAATGCCGGAGTGTAACCTTGGTTTGCACCCGCCGAGAGGTAAAATTCGGGGTCCAAAGGCTTATCCACCAACCTAATAGAAGAGTACTGTAGGTAAGCTTTAGCCGTTTTTGGGTACTATAATATATGATCAGTCGTGAGTCGTCAATGTGTCGGAATCCTCTGACTGGAAGTACCACGTCTCGCAGAAGGCTTCCAGAATGGCTTTCCCTTGGCTCCAGCGGCATTTAGAAACATCGGGCTTTCCACAGGGCTTCTAGACTCCAGGGCTTGTACGTTCCCCGAGGCGATGGTCTAGTCCACTGAGCCGTACTTTAAGCTGATGGTCATGAACCCCTGGATAAAAAGCCAAGAACGATAACATTGATAACATTCCTTTGTGGGCCCGTATAAGTACAGCCCAGACTCTCAGTTTGCACGCTGCATGATTTGGAGCTCTCTCGCAACTCAAAGGCGCCACTCCATTCCTCACAGTGTCGCGTATACTTGGACTGAAGCAAGCTTGTATAGTGTTGAGGATCATGTCGAACTCCTTCTTTTTTGAGAAGCCTCAATCCATCCATGCGCCGTACCCCTTATAACCCGAAGACACAAAGTGCAGCACCTGACCATGAGTGCCAGCCCGAACTTCCAGCTGTCAGAGCCCATAAGCCCTACAGGGCCTACAGTCACAGCTCCAGTTCTGCACTGCCTGTCCTTCCTCGCGAGGTCGGCTGTATGACTTAAATGGCGTCGCTTATTGCAGGAACATGGTCCTGGATCTCATCCTCTGCGGAAGTCATCTCCAAAGCCCGGGGGATGACAGCCGGAATCCACCGGTTGCTGCAACCAGACTTCGTGGATTTGAGCGACGCGGACCGGCGCCGGCTGCTAGGCCTGCAGAGACGGGTCCATGCCATGGTGCAGCCTCTCAACTTCCTGCTGCTCTGGTCAAAGCATCGCGACTGTCGGATACAGCAGGTGGTGCTCGGCGCTCAAGAGCTGCTCTTTGACATCTATTCCTTTATTGAGTGCTTCGCCAGCGATGAAAGCCCCAGGGGCAGCCAGACTGGACCGAAGCGTCGGGGCAGCAGCAGCAGCAGCAGCCTGACAAAGTCAGAGCAATTGGATTTCTTTCTTCGTGAGTTGGACTTCACCTGCATGTCGGTGAACATGGCAATTTGCATGGAGGGAGCGACACCCTCAACGGGGTGTCTTGGCGATGTGTCTCCGCTTGCTCTGCTTCGTGCTCATCGGCGCATCAAGGAAATGCAGGGTCGCAGCGGCCATTTGTGCACTCTCACGGGTTGTCTCTACCAAGACCTGGATGGGGGTTTAGAGACAGACCGTGACGTTGCATGTCGAGCTGAAGAATGGCGGAATCACTGGACCCCGGCACTGTCTCTTGCCACTTTCAAGGTGGTCGCAAAGCTTGCTTCGGAGAGGAGGTACCACCTCGAGGTGGAGAGCCGACTGCCACTAAGTCAGGGTGATTTGCCGTTTGTGCGCCCGAGTGATGAGGAGACGGCTTTGGCTGTGGGTTTGAATTCTTTTACGCGAATGGAGTTTCCAATTCGTACAGCCTGTCGTGCCACCCTTCTCACGACGGGTCATCTACGCCTCGCTACGGCATCGCCAAGCGGTCCAAAAGACACGCTCGTGGATTCCTTGGCCTTAGTTTGGGACCAAGAAGGTGACTTGGGGGAGCAGCGAGATAGATCACAGCCAAAGAAGGGTCGACGATTTGCGTTTGTGTTCGATGGGCGAAATTCTGGCGGCGATCGTGAGGCTTCAGGCATTGTGCCGGAGCTTGCCATAACACCTTTGGATGCCATCTATCTGGCACGTCTTTGCGCTGTGGATGCTGATGCTGAGTTTGCAGCTCTGCACAAACCATGCCGTGAACGGCGCGACGAATTCCGAGGTGTGGGCAGTTCCGGCAGCATGACTGCGACAGGAATGGACGTATCGGCTGCCAGACTCATACTACGCGATGCAGTTTCACCGACACGCGGCTCATAGGTGAGTGAAGATTTCGCATAGCCCGGAAGGCTTGCAGAGCTTCTGAAACCAGAGAAAACGAACCTTCCGCCTCCCAGCAATCCAGCTTAGAACCTGCTGCTGTCAGTAGTCGCCTGCAACAAGCACCAAACGTAATACTTTCGTTGGCCCCACTGCAAGAGAAATCCTGAACCCCAGAAGCTTTCAGGTGTAGGGCTTAATCCAAACCCTAAACCCCATCCAAAGCAGCCAAAGTACGCATGCCAACTACACAAGAGTCAGCACTCGAACTTGAAAGCGAAACAAAAAGAGGTCCCGCAAACCCCAAAATCCCTTTGCATCCTCGTAGCCAGGCGTCTTAGCCTGTTGGCCCGAGGCGAAATCTGCGGCCTCAACTGGGATTGCAGAGTTGTCGGACCTCGGCACGAGGCTGTTTTTTTCAGAGCGTCTTACTAGCTACCAGTACTACCAGTACTAATACTACGTAGTACTAGTACTTGTACTTGTAATCGTAGTAGTCGTAGTAGGCGTAGTCGTCGTCGTCGTAGTAGCAGTAGTAGTAGTCGTCGTCGTAGTAGGAGTAGCAGTAGCAGTAGCAGTAGCAGTAGTAGTAGTAGTAGTAGTAGTAG